GTTGCGCGGGGGGGGTCCCCATAGGGACTGGGGCTGCTCCTGCTTGGGGGGGGGCGCAGGTCCTGGTGATGGGGAGGAAGGGGGGGCTGCATGGCCAGGGGAGCAGGGGGTCCCCAGCCTTCTTATGGGTGCTGGGGAGGAGCCCCCCCAAAAATCAGGCACCCTGCGGCCGCTTCTGCGCCCCAGCTCACCCCAGAAGCCAGGCAGGGGCTGGATCGAGCCCCCTTCCCACGGAGAGCACCCTGGGGTGCTCCTGGCCTTCGCAGCGAGGATGAGGATGGTGTTTCCAAGGGCTGCCCGGGCAGGGCAGACCTGCCAGGCCGGCTTGGCCCGGTGCTGCCAGGCAGACGCATGGGCCAGCCCTGGTGCTGCAGCAGATGGAGGTCCCCAGATGGGGGAAACTGAGGCACAGAATCCCCACAGGGCAAAGCAGAGCTGGGAGATGGCACTGAGCTCTCACCCAGCTCACGAGACCCCGCGTGCGGCCCGGCAAAGCCTCTTGCGAAACACAGACCTGAGCCGGAGCGTGGCGGAGGGGCTGCGGTGCGTCAGCCGGGGCTGACTCACGCCAAAATCTTGCTGGCCTGGCTGAAAAGCCCCTGGCCGAGCGGCGAGGGCCAGGCTGGGGATTGCCCTGGCCGCCGCTCGTGCCCCGTTTCCCCGAGCTCAGCAGGTCTGCGGCCGCTCAGCCTCAGCAAAAAGCGGCTGGAGGGTGTCCTGGGGGCCGGCAGCCGGCCACCGAGGGGCTGGGGTCCCCTCCCGATGCGGATGGTCCCCGAAGAGGGGAGATCCACGCCGAAACGGGCCGTGGGGACCTGTGCCACGGCCTGCGTTTATCCAGCGTTGCCCTCCGTACTGCTTGGAATACCCAAAAGAGGGGGGTTGTGCCCCAAAACTGTGGCTGGGGGTGTGAGCGGCGGGTGCTGCCCCCCCAGCCTGCGATCCGGCGTCCTTTATGGGCTCCGTGTCCCTTAGCCCCCAGGTCTTCCAGGCCGGTGACATAGGGAGGAGGGAGGGGGTTGGGGTGACCCCCCCATGATGCTGTCCCGGTCTCCCCGGCAGGAGACGGTGCTCCCCGGCTGGCTCCGGCCACGCGTGCTGGCAGCGATGGGCGCGGGGACACCGGATCACGGGGCTGTGCGACACGGCGGTGTCCGTTTCCCTGCCTGTCACTCAGGGCTGGGAGCCAGGCCAGGAGCTGCCGGCAGGGCGGGGGGGGCACCGCATCGTCTCCCTCCCTCCAGATGTCCTGTCCCCCA